AGGAAACTGACTAGATTGGGTAACGTCCCAGTTAACGCCCCAAACCCTCGACCGCGCTTACTTCGGGTAGTCCTATCTACCCCGGAGGAACGCAACGCGCTGTTGCGGTTTGCCTTCAAATTGAAGGGTACTAATGTTAGTGTTCAGCCAGACCTCCAATTAGCGGATAGGCTGAAGCTAAAAGAGGCCATTAAGGACCTCAAAATCAGGCGAGCGGCCGGTGAACAAGGTCTCCGGTTGGTGGGTTTTCGGGTGGTCAGCCGGCGGTCTGTTTCCGCCCTACCAGTGCCAGTACTGGTAGCGCACGACCCAGGGCTGGACATTACGAGTACCTTCAAATAGTGCTAAGCAATGTGCGGAGCCTAAGGAATAAGATGTGCGAGATAGGTCTGCTTGTAGATGGGTCTCATCCCGATATACTTGCATTCACTGAAACGTGGCTGTCTCAAGACATCACGGACGGTGAAGTACATCTGCCTGGCTACGCACTATTTAGATGTGATCGCTTCGTTGGCCGACAAGGCGGGGGCCTTGCACTTTACGCTAGGTGTGAACTTGACGTTTCACGCACCTACATGTTTCAGACGGCAGATAAAACTGTCGAAGCGCTGTCGGTAGTGATTAACACTTCCTCAGCTCAACTTACAGTCGTACTTGTGTATAGAAGCCCTGGAAGTGCGTCCAAAGAGGTGCTTGACTTTATTCGCTCCCAATCCGCAAACAGGTGTTTGATACTGGGGGATTTCAACCTACCAGAAGTTTGCTGGGCGGATCTTTCTTGCAACTCGGCAGAAGGTACTTTCGGGGCAGATCTACTTGAGCTTACGCTACACGTACCATTGTATCAGTTCGTGGACCTCCCTACTAGGTACATGGACGCCCAACTCCCGTCTATTTTGGATCTAGTGTTTGCCAAGTAACTAGACTTCGTAGGGGACATCACTTACGGCTCTCCCTTAGGTGCTAGTGATCATGTTTGTTTATCGTTCAGGTGTAGTCTGACCAGGCGTCACCAGAGCATTGCTAAGCCATTTACAAACATATGGCGTGCTAACTATCAGGCAATGCGTACCAAGGCTGCTGGGATGCGTTGCGAAATCTCGGTGGTTGATACGGTTCAGGCGGCCTGGGATAAATTTAAATCTTATCTCACGGAAGTGTCTACTCCCTACATCCCGCTTGCGAGGAGAAAGGAGACACGGGCGCGGCCGCCGTGGATAGATACCACTGGCAAGCACCTGCTCCAGAAGCGTTCTAGGTGCTGGAGGACCTACCGTGCGGCTCCATCAACTAGCACCTATGCTAGGTACCGCGAGGCTAGAAATAGGTGTAAACAACACTTAAGGAAAGCTCGGCTGGTGTACGAAAAGGAATTGGCTGACGGAGCTTCGGAAAATCCGAAGAAGTTCTTCGCTTATGTTAAGAGACGCTGTGGTTCAACTTCGGTAATCTCAACTTTGATGAGGGCCGATGGAACTCGTGCGTATGCGGACTCAGATAAGGCTCGTGTACTTGGGGAACAGTATGCAGGGGCTTTTGTACGTGAGGCCGCGTTGACTAGCGTTGAATTTGTCCCCAGAGTACCTGATGGTTCTTATTTAGCTGAGTTTACTGTGGTGGAAACGCAAGTCCTTAAACTGCTGCAAGAACTGAACCCTTCCAAAGCAGCTGGACCTGATTCAATTCACCCGAAGCTTCTGCATGAGTTGGCGGGGGAACTAAGTGGACCGCTGACGATGGTGTTTCAGAAATCACTTGACAGCTGTACATTACCTTCCGAATGGAAGGAGGCTGTCATCTGTCCTATCTTCAAAAATGGCGACAGGAGTCTGTCAGCCAATTATAGGCCAGTTAGTCTGACTAGCGTCGTGGTCAAACTGCTTGAAAAGCTGGTGAGAGATTCGTTGGAATGTCACCTGAATAGATTTAATCTGCTCAGTAGTGCACAACATGGATTCCGGAAGGGATTTTCGTGTTTGACGAATTTGTTGGTTGCTCGTGAAGTTTGGGCCGAGGCAGTGGACAATGGCCACGTGGTGGATGTGCTTTTCGTAGACTTCTCGAAAGCATTTGATAAGGTACCCCACTTGAGGCTATCACATAAGCTGAGGTCCTACGGCGTATCTGGCCGCGCCCTTCACTGGGTATCTGCGTTTTTGCAGGGAAGAGAGCAGTGTGTACGTGTGGGTCGCAGCTTATCCTTTAAGCAAGCGGTCCTTAGCGGTGTCCCACAGGGCTCGGTCCTTGGACCGATGCTGTTCTCCATCTACGTAAACGATCTCCCTGGAGAGCTTGGGGTATCATCCTTATTGTTTGCTGATGACCTTAAGCTATGGAATGTTGTAAATGTTCCTGGGGGTTCTGAGGCCATACAGCGTGCACTGGACAGACTCTGGGACTGGTCTACTTTGTGGCTACTGCCCATAAATCAGGCTAAGTGTTCCGTCCTTCGTATAGGAGCAACTTTCCCGCCTTCGAGCTACGTACTCGGTGGGGTCGAACTCCCCCTTGTCTCCAACCAGATAGATCTAGGTGTCGTTCATTCCTCGTCTTTGCATTCTGGTGACAACTGGAAGAAGGCCGCTAGTAGGGGTTTCAGAATGTTATGGTTAATACGCCGTTCTTTCGGGGTCTTAACTGCCGACATATTTGTGAAGCTATTCTCAGCTTTCGTTCGGCCCCATCTGGAATACTGCGTCCAGGCTTGCGCGCCCTGCCTTGTTCGGGACAAAATGGAGCTTGAGAGGGTTTTGAGAGTAGGTACCAAATTGGTCGAGGGGTTACGGGGGCAATCGTACCCCGAGCGTCTACTTAGCTTGGGTATGTATTCAATGCACTACCGACGGCTTCGAGGAGACCTAATCCTTACTTACCGCATTTTAACAGGGAAGGTTGGGCCGGACTTGCGCTGGCTATTTAGCCCGGCTAGGTTGCCTTGTCTTCGCGGTCATCCCATGAAGCTACACAAGCCGCGTTCTGACGGGATCAGGGCGGAAACTCGGTTATCGCGTAGAGTTATCGAGCGCTAGAACTCGCTTCCAGAAAATGTAGTCAGTGAACCTACGGTTAAGGGTTTCGAGCGTCAGTTAGACGCTCTTGGGTGGCAACACGAAACCTTTCCGTTCTCCTGACCATATCCATCTTCAAGTTCAAGTTCAAGTTCAATTTGGACAGGAACGGTAGGAGAATTCCCATGTGTGTTCCTTCTTCAATGCGTCGTTGAACCAGGATGGAGTTCGCGGGAGCGGTTTGGAGCCGAGAGGAGCCAAATCAATACACACGAATCACATAACGGTCAACCAATCAATGCCCACTCGGCCTGCACTAGCAGTCCCCACTGTACCGGCCACGTGAATAGAATAAAGGTTAAGAGAAGGGAACCAACAGAAACAAAATAATGGTAATTGTAGTACAGGAGAGAATGTGTGGTTAAGACAATAATAGTAATAGATGTGAGGAGCCAAGGAAATAGATGTAAAAGTTAAGAACTAAACGGAAAGGTCTGAAACTGTAACCCAAGGGCGTCGAGTCGATGTTCAAACTCCTTCACCGTTTGTGCTAACACTACTTCGCTGGGTAGTGCGTTCCATGAGTCGATGACCCTGCGTGACAACCGAACGTCAGCTCTAACGTGATCAGATCTAGGCTTATGCAACTTCAGAGGGTGACCACGAAGAGATGACATCTGAGCCGGCTGGAACAGTACAGTTAGATCAGGCCCAATCTTGTTGGTCAATATACGGTACGTAAGAATCAGGTCTCCCCGAAGGCGCCTATAGTGCAGCGAAAACATCTGCAACCTGAGCAGCCTATCGGGATACGAGAGATGCCTCAATCCTTGTACCATTTTCGTACCAACCCTCATAACTCGTTCAAGTGTCATCTTATCGCGTACCAAGCATGGAGGACAGGCCTGCACGCAGTACTCCAAGTATGGCCTGACGAAGGCTGAGAACAATATAACGAACATTTCATTTGTTATAATGCCGGATGACCTGCGAATCATCCACAGCATTCGGAAACCCTTGCGGGTAGCATTTGTCCAGTTCTCGCTGGATTTGAAGTCAGAGGATAACGAGATACCCAAGTCAGTTTGTTCAGTCACTTGACGCAATACATTTCCGCCAAGTACGTAAGAAGTTGCGGGAGTGCTTGATCCTATGCGCAGGACCGAACACTTTTCAAGATTGACTGGCAGCTGCCACAATTCTGACCACTCCCAAAGCTTGTCCAGAGCTGTCTGTAAAGCCGTGGGCCCAACAGAACCGCTCACTGTATTCCAAAATCTTAAGTCATCCGCAAACATAAGGGATGGTAACTTAAGCTTCTCAGGGAGGTCATTGACATACAATGCAAACAGTAGAGGTCCGAGAACTGTCATTATCTTCACTCTTTGGTGTTATCCTTCATTTTAATGACTTTCATTCCCCTTTATCTTCCATTTACTTTCTACTTCTTTCTTACTTCGCGTAACCTACACAGCGCGGACTGCTAGTGCAGGGAACGTGGGCAGTAGTTGGTTGATCAGGGTGTGTTTCGGGTGTTTCGTTTTAGATCTAACAAGAACCAACACCTTATCATTTCCTGGCTCAACGATTTGCTCAAGAAGGAACACTCAAGGGATTTTCCTATCGTTCCAGTCCATCTGAATCTGAATCTGAATCTAAAAACAAAGTAAATTCACCATTAAAGAAGCATTATGATGGCCATCTTAACGCTATTTTAGAACGAGACAAACATAAAATTTTTATAGATATATACATAAAATACCTATTTAACTAAAAAAGATGGCAAAATAAGTTACACACTTTACTGAAGTTATAAGAACTAAAAATTGTTACCAATCGATATATGTGAACATTAGAGGAGCAGTTTAAGGAAACTCTACGACTTTATACATGTGCATGATTAAATGGAAGCAGATGTCATTTGTCATCTACATTTTACTTAATTGATCATTTGCATCAAGATACACCTAACTGTACCAGATCGCACAGCTTATTTTCGGCATTTTTATGGTCCGTTAGTTATGTACTTCGCGTCTTTGTGTCCCAGCCTGAATGAGAATGTGTTCAGATTTGGCTTTCTGTCTGATTTTCTTTTCAGCCCTTCTGATGTTGGTGAGTGCGTTTTAGAATTACAACGCCTAGATAATCACTGCATTTTTTACTTCCATGCACGGAAAATTAACTATTCTATCAGAGAATTATGACTGCTTTGGTAATATTTGTGGACAGCAGCGCAATATCGACAATCAGTTGCCTCGATCCAATATGTCTCACAAGAAGTAACTCTTACATGCTAATAAACTTGGACTTAGATTTTTAGTGCATACCAATTTCGTGGATTTGCACCACTCCATTCCTATTTGCGTTGACGAGTGTATAAACTACACCATTTTGCATCAAAATGCACTGAAAAAGTACCTACTGGACAAAAACACTAGCTTATGTGATTGCAGAGTACCAGTCAACCTGAAACTGTGAGTATCTGGTTTACAATTTAATTTTGGATACATTGGAAATGTACGTATTTTCTCGGACCGGGATTCTAACCAAGGTGTTTTGCTGATAATTTGGTGAGGGTGGTTTGGTACGCCATTGGAACATTGGAACATTGTATTTAATGGGAATAAAAGCTGGAGCTTTACATGACCCATAGGGTAAAAAGAGTTCGGGTCGGGTTTAATGAAAGGCCAAGCAACCTTATAGCGGGTTGGACTCGCGTGTTAGCCGTATCTTCATCGGGCTTATGTGGCATTTAAACAGAATGCACGCCGGCTCAAAGCGAGACATCCCACCACGCCCTCCGAAACGGCTTTGGAAAGGAAGGTGGAAGAAAAAAGGAAAAAGATTCCATCCAGTAGAATGTAGTTAAATTAGGGAATATCGCGGTGTAGCTCGGCCAGATGACAGTCCAAGCGGGCCTTAAAGTCCGCCACAGTGGGTGCCAAGACTAAATCGGCCGGCAGAGCATTCCACGGTCGGCAGATTCGCAAAGAGAAGTAGTGTCGTCTGCAGTTCAGCCGACTGTGCTGATGTGTGAGCCTCAGTGGGTGGCCACGTAGGTGGGAGCCCGATTGGTGCAGTGTGAGTAGGTGGCGACAAGGATGTCCATGTGGACTATGTTGCTTATTGATGTTGTGTGGTGTATAATGAAGAGTTTCAGAAGCATTTATGGTACGTGGTAATATTAAAGTTTGTAGATTTTAACACTGTTGTTGTTCAAGTAGCTAACGAAGTGCAGTTATGAGTCGCGGCGCGTCGTTGGAAGCTGCCATCATGGTGGACGATCTTCAGGTCAGGTCAGGTCAGATGGACGATAGAGGCTTCCGCCTAACGAGCGTCCAGTTCTTGTGCCGGTAAGTGAAGCGACCCCCGGCACTTCGACGTTGGATTGTCTTTTCTTGCTTCTGCAATGGAATGAAGCAAGAACAAGAACAATCTCTGCACTTTCATATGCCAGCATCAAAATACACTACATATTAAAGTACAACTACAATATCTCTGGAAAAAGGATGGACCAACAATTGTCTAAGCCCCTTTTGAAGGCTTCTACGGTCTCAGACTCCACTAAATCAGAAGGAAGTTTATTCCAGTAGTTAACTACCCGGTTCGTAAAAAACTTTGCCCTGATGTCCAAACGAGCTCTGTGATGTTTAAGCCTCAGGTGAAATTATATATTCGCGAACATTTGCGGACATGGAACAGGATGTGAAGAAATTTCAGCAGGCTACTGCGACGGCCTTTTATAAGCGGTCAGTGGTTACTCGAACTCGGTACAAAATTTACTTAGCTTAACTTAACTTTACCTCCCTATAAATATACTAAGTGCATTCCATTTTATTATTGAAACCTCTTTAATTATTTCTTAACGCTCGTCATTGCCAAATTGATACATGCTGTTCCATTTAACCTCGGCCCGTAACCAAAATTCCGCCCTTGGTTAGAGCTCAGCTCCCGTATTTTCTCGTTTTTGTTTGCAGCTATTTTTGGTAAAACGCTTTTCTCTTTTTTCAAGTGAGAAGTCAACTGTAAAAGGCTAATTGGTTTAACTCGGACTGCTTGCTTGCTTTGTTGGTGTTATGTGGATCTGTCCACTACTTACCAACCCTGTGCTTCAATTCTCGGCAAGTGACACCATTCACCGTCATAATACTCGGTGCAACGCGATGCAAACCGCTGCTCACCTTAATAGAGATTAAGCAGGGGCATTGCGAATAAGGTAATGGACGTTTCTGTCTTAGATTACAGATTTTGGCTGAGAATGTATTAAGTTATCTTGCGGGGATGCATAAGCCGATGAATTGTTGTACATCGTTGGGTTGCAGAAAGCCAATAGCGAATCCTTTGTCGGCCCCTTCACTTTCCAATCATTGCGTTGATGCCACGAGTCGTTATGAAGCGGTATTCCACCAAGGACCGTAACAGCTTCAGTTGGAACAGCAAGAACCCAGCTCAGTTAGCAAGTGAGAATCCAACCGATACTTGAAACATTCCTGTCTGGGCCTTGACCACGGTTACCAGTAAGTCATTCCAGTCCCATGCTACACAGCTTGGTATAGCGAGATCGAAACGAACTCGGCACGTTTTTGCTTTAATGTTTAAAGCAAGAACGCGCCGAGGTATTAGGCTGTGACCCCCAGTTGAATTATTAACATCGACTTGTAAGAACGCTTACAGCTCTAGCTTCATTTCTCCTTTCAACATGCGTCTGGCGAAAATCAGGTCACCGCGACGTCGACGATAACTCAGGGAGCATAGGTTTTTCCGCAGATTAAGTTCCTACCTTGACACTAACTTTGATGTATCTGTGTCCTCAGCTGGCTCAAATAAACGATCAGCCGTCTCATTGTATGTTGTCATCAGTCACTCGCAAAAATGTAACAAACAATAATCAACGCAATACACGTGAAATAATGCACGCTTATAGCCACCGGTTTCTATCTTACAATGAATTCACATGTCTTCCAGACCTACGTGGCACAAGTGATCAGTTGTCTTGCGCTTTGGGAGTCGGTTTTCGCCTAGCGCAAATAACATTTTCGACTTGGGAAGGTGCGTTCACTACATATGCTAGGGCTACGTTTGGAAAAGTGTTCTGATTGACCAATATTTGACCTAATAAGACGGCCAGGAACGTTTAACTTGATCACCCAACAGGCGTTCATCGGTAAATCATGGGTACGTCCATCGGTCATTCGTGCTACGTATTTGATCCTACTAGTTTTATAAGTGCATTCGGACCCTAGTAATTAGCTTTCCCCGCGTACTTCACCTATTAAAATTTCTCTTATCACATTAATGAGTGCAAATGTTACTTTAGCTTAAATCACCGTGGCTACTTTTAGCCTGGTCCTTGGGGGTAAATTAAAATTTTTGAGCGTGCTGTCTTTTTGAGGTTTTATTTTCAAAGGACAGGCTCGGAACAGTGTTTACAAGTGCCGTGCAAAAAAGATTGGGCTTTTGTCAAATTTCGCTTGATTTAAATAATTTTTTATTATTATCTTCCTCGGATGACGTAGTACCCGTTCTCGGGTACTTACCAGACGTCGTCCGTCTTTTTCGGGTTTAGCCTCTGGCTACTTTTCCGGTATTTTTGTGTCTTGTAATCCGTTTTGCACCTTGTTTTAACCCGTAACTGTTTCTGTTGACTGCGCTGCAGGTAACACCTTGTCGGTTTTACGTTTTGCTACTTGTTTCACGCTCTTTGAAAGCGTCATATCGGATTCACTGAATACCGGCGCTACTGTCTTTGGCTGTGTTGATCAACGAATCTAATGCTGTATGCGGCAGCGTAAGTTGCTCAAACCCCTTGACGGACAAATCTGGTGGCATGCAGTGCTATGTATCAAACTGCTGGTACCATGAGACCTGTACCGATTTGAGTCCTGATCGGTACGGAAAGCGATAGCATGCTGTTCAATTGTTTTCTATACCGTCGCCGTCTATCTACTCGTCTTGAGGTCACTGAGGAGACATCGAGCAACTTCGGGCTGGGTAACCAACAGATGTGGTTTTTTCTCGCATCTCGTTCGCAAAGTGGGGTTACTGATGAGGAAAATAGGAGTCTATTGATGTCGGCTCATTGATGGAAGCCATGCAAGTAACATCAATTGCTATCGATGAGAATCCGTCTAAGGTTATGGCTACCGTGTCGTATGCCCCAGCGGTCCAGAATGCCCCTAACGAGGCCTCTGGTGTCGTACTGGACGTCGTCCAAGACTTGTGCTCAATAAAAGCAAGAGGAAGAGGGCTAAGAAAGCCCCTTAAGGCTCCCCCAAAGCCTGAAGGTACTGAACCCATAAAGGTATTGGAGGTAGATCACAATGCTCCAACTCCAATTACTCCAGTTCCATTGTCGAGAACACGCGCCGTGTCGACTGCGGCCACATCCGCAAAGTCTGAGAAGACTAGACCGGTGAGGGAGTTGGAGGTAGAACAAAAAGCGTCAACCTCAATTACTCCAGCTCCCTTGGCGAAGGAATGCGCCGAGTCGCCTGCCAAACCCGTCGAAACTGGGGTCGAGTCGAAGACTCGTGGAGTGAATACACCTTGTTGAGGTGCTTCTTTTATTGATAGTATCGTTATCTTTCGTAACGTTGCTGAATCCGCGGCAGCTCTTCCCAAGGAACGCATGCTGGATGACCTCCAGTGGTCCAATCTCTGCGTCAACAAGATGCTTCCACCTGGTTTCCCCGTGTCACTATCAGGAAGCTAACCAGATTTGGGAACGTCCCTGTCGTTACGCCAAATCCGCGGCCCCGACTACTTCGTGTAGTCCTCTCAACCCCGGAGGAACGCAAAGCGTTAGTGTGCTTTGCACTCAAACTCAAGGGTAGTAATGTCAGCGTTCAGCCGGACCTCCCATTGGCAATTAAAGGAAGCCTTCAAAAGCCTCAAGAGCAGGCGGGCGGCTAGTGAGCAAATCCTTCGTCTTGTGGGTTTTCAGGTTGTCAGCCGGAAGTCAGATTCTGCCCTACCAGAATCCCTCCTGGTAGTGGACGACCCAGGGTTGATCGTGCCGAGTTCCTTCGAGTAGTGCTTATTAATGTGCGTAGCCTAAGGAACAAGCTACACGAGGTGGATCTACTTGTAGACAAATCTCGTCCCGACATACTTGCTTTCACTAAGACGTGGTTGTCCCCGGATATCACAGACGGTGAAGTATGTTTACCTGACTATGCACTGCTTAGATATGATCGCTCCGTTGGCCGCCAAGGTGGGGGCGTCGCTCTTTATGGGAGCTGTCAACTTGATATGTTGAGGCCCTGTGTTTTCCAGTCGCCGAATCAAACTGTTGAGACCCTGTTGACTATTGTGTGCACTTCGTCTGTTCAGTTTACAGTTGTACTGGTATATCGAAGTTCTGGAAGTATCTCCAGGGAGGTTATTGAATTTCTTCCTTCTCAGGCTGCTAATAGGTGTCTAATAATGGGTGACTTCAACCTCCCTGAAGTCTAATGGGCTGATCTCTATTGCA